ATTATCATGTGTTCCTTTCAGCTTTCTGCAATGCGTGATAACTGAATAAACCAGCAGCAGTATGGCAAGCCGTTGGGGTCATAAATCGGGCGTGTTTTTACGCCACCGCGCGTTCAGATTTGCACGTAAAAACACGCCCGATTTATGACCCCAACGGCTTGCCATACAGCAGGGCTGTCAAACTCAGGTTCTTGAGAGAGGGCCGCCATCCTGCATGTTTTCCTTGTTTCTTTTCTCCAACACACTAGATTCAGTTATTCAGTTACCTCTTTAATTTCTGTACAAGCCTGTTAATCATCCAATCATGCAAACTATGTATGTTTAAGCAGGGAAACAAAAAAAAAACAAAACATGCTGTCCCTCAAGGACCAAAGTTTGACACATTAAACTCTAGGTCAATCTAAATGTTTTAGCTGGAGTTACTCACTCAACACAGATGTAAAATTTGCTGCAAAAACAAAAACGATCAAAAAATAATTAAAGAAGACAACTTTGTACTTTAAACAGTTTTAATAACTGTGGGGGTCTTTAAAAAGTTTATGCCCGTGGGCCTGTTTTTAGAGCGCCACTGATTGACTCTAAGGTGCGTTTGATATATTCACTTGTATACGACGTTTGTGCGAAGCCAACTAAAATATTTGGTGTAAACGGGAATACTAAAATACAACCAAATTGTTGGAGTAATACACTGGTGTTCTTACAATAATTATTAGAACATACGAGCCTATTGTTTTTTTATTGAAGTTAACATTTATTAAAATGAAAACATACCCGCTCTTCCGGAGTGTCGCCAAACAGAATGCAAGCTACCTTGGCAGAGACGTGTAGCCACAAGCGTCCCAGCTGAAAAGTAGCATCAGTGGCACGCCTCCTGTAGGAAGGGCGCAGTCCAGATAGCTAGCTGGCTAGCTGTGATCAACAAAACGATGTCGGTAAACCTCAGTAAAAATGGCTCTGCGTTAACAGCCGCCTATAAAGAAGTAGTAGACGAAAAATCCAACACAAACTGGTAAGTGTTCACATTTTTAGACCTGTGTTAGCTCTGTGAGAAAGGGCTGGTTAGCTAATGTTTGCTAGCTTTGAGTCAGTCGTCAAAGAAACTTAACCTTATAGGCTGTATAACCTTAACCCGTAGTGTAAAATTAATGTTTGTCGTTGACAGCTATTTATGGCTTTCTTTGTTTAAGAAACAAGAGCGACAAGTTGTTTTTTTGTTTTGTTTTTTGTCTCGAGTGTCTTTTTTTAAAATCATTATCCATGTTATGCCGCGATTCAGTATTAACGTTATACAAATGTATCATCATGACTGGTAATTACATACTGACCACGTAACTTCACAACTAAATGTGATTCAAAGGTATTTATAGTTTTTGTTGAGTGATATAACGGAGTGAGAAAAACACTACACCACTTCCTGGTGAGATATCAGAGGTTAAACATGACTAAATATGTTTCTGTTAGTTCAAACACTTCCTCTTTAAGTAACCTATTGTTACAGCAGTGTCACCATAGACTGTAAATATATGTGTGTGAGATTCAGTGTTTAATTGTGACCTTAATTAAGTAATTAATCCAAAGGAGCCACGCTTAGGGAGTAGTCCTTCTGGGTTTGCCTTCACTTCTTGTGAAAATGTTTCCTCATGGGCCTCTCAGGCTCCTTTTACTAACTCTGAAACATCATCGGTTGGAGGTTGTTTCTTCCTAAACTGTGCTGACAGAAAATAAAAGAAGTGATCTTGCTTTGACAATTTCAAGTTTTTACTTCCGCTAAGGAGAGCTGTTCTCTGCATACAAGTAGGAAGTAAGTTTATTTTCAAAGCTCCAGTGGACTGAATGTTGCACACACATCCTGTCTTACATTTAGACCTGGATTTTAATCTGGGGCTATGTATGCTGTGTTGCAACAAACATCGATATCCACTGTCAGGCACAAGGTTTATGTACATGTCACTGACAGGAAAATAGGTGATTGTCGCTAATAGTTTTTGTCAGATCTGACCCAAAGCAGGTTATCAAAACTGATGTGAAAATAAACATTCTCATAGGTCTTTCATTTCTAACACAAACTTAAAGCTCAAATCTGCTGAATTTTATTTATGTGATGCTAGTTTGCATTAAAAACCATCTCAGGGTGTTTTGCAGAAACAAGAACAAGTTGAATTCAGATGTTTGTGTCTTACCAGTCAGTAGGGTTGGGCAAAACTGTGCAATTAACCGTCAGGAAAAACTGTCAGCAATTAATATTTGCTACTTTGCTGTTACTGCCATTAGTGCCACATGATGACGCATTTGTGTGCGCTCTCACTATCGAGCACACGTGAGCCTGTGGCGTATGGCGTTATTAAAGATTTGCTGCTACTCCACATTGGTAAAAAAAAAGTGGGTTTCAGTTCACAGCTTACTAATTTAACCTTGTAAAATGAAGACGTTAGTTCAACTGATTTGTAAGTATAATTTTAGGTATTAGATTTTTGAATTAAAAAAGAGTGTAATTTTCATCTATTTGTCGTGTTAATTGTTTTCAGCTAATAATTTATCGTGATTATTATTATTTCTTTTTGGCCAATATATGTCCAGCCCTACTAGTCAGTAAATATTGGGTAAAAAAATCATTAATTTAGTCTTAAATTAGCAGGAGTTCCCCTTCAAACTCTTAGATCTGACAAAGCTGTAACTATGTCTGTTGTCCATTATTTTTCAAGTTCTCATTTTGCAAAGCATTTTTAGTCTAAAAATAATGTTTTAACAATGTTGAGTGTTTGCAAACGTGAAGAATGCCGTACAAAGACCCCCACCCCCATGAAAAACAAAATTGTGTAAAATCCCTAGGTGTGAGTGAGAGAGTGAATGGTTGTTTGTCTCGTTTGTCTCTATGTGTGGCCCTGTGATGGACTTGCGACCTGTCCAGGGTGTACCCCGCCCCTCGCACTGTGACTGCTGGATATGGGCACCAGTGACCCACGCAACCCTGAAAAGGAAGAAGCGTGTACAGAAAATGGATGGATGGATGAAAAGCTTCCCAGGATCAACTTTTTTTCTTTTGTCTTAAATATGTTTGGCGCAGCCAAAGTTATTTTAATGTTTTTATAGCAATAAAAATTTAGTCAATATTTTGAACAGGAGCAAAGCAGCCTGTGAAAATTATGGACAGGGCTTCTCAAAAAGAGGATTAAAATTACACCAATATTTATACTACTTTATCCTCTGTAAAATTGAGTGTGAGCAGGGTTTAGGTGTCACACATGCTTGGGATAAATTTACAAAACATCTCTTGTTTAGCAAGAACTGCTGTCTTTTAACCACATTTATGTGTTGTTTTTTACAGGGCCTTGTTCACTTATGAGGGAAACAGTAATGACATCCGTCTGGCAGAAACAGGAGGTGAATACACCGGCGTATATTGTTGTCATTAAGTTTAAGGTGTCAACATGATGTTATCGAATGTGTGTGGGAATCCGTGGCTGTCGACACACGGCTGCAGCGCCAGAAAACCGGCACAAAAGAATTGCTTGCCTCTGCTTTTTTGAGCCCATCATTTGCAAAGTCCGCAGTTACACAACAGACCACAGCTGCCGTTTAACTTTTCCACTTGTTTTATGAATCAGATGGAGGACTTGAGGAGCTGGTTGAAGAACTCAACAGTGGAAAAGTTATGTACGCTTTCTGCCGGGTCCAGGATCCCAACTCTGGTCTGCCCAAATATGTCCTCATTAACTGGGTTAGTTGCTGCAGTCAGCCATTCTGCATTTGATTAACTCCTCTGTGGTGACCGCCCTTTAAGCTTTTCTTTGTTCTTTGTTTGTTTCTGTTTTAGACTGGAGAGGGAGTCAATGATGCCAGGAAAGGAATATGTGCAAATCACGTCAGCTCCATAGCCAATTTTCTGAAGGTAACAATGAGTGGGCTTTGAAGAACAATTAGGTTTTAACTAAGTTAGCAGCTTGATTAGCCATACATCTTCATTAAAAACACACTATTTCTGCAAAAAAATACAGTATTTACAATAAAACCCTCAAGTACCAAGGATAACTGTGAATCAAATGGAGGTTGAATTTGAATTGCTAAGATTGTCTGCTTGCTTCTGTTTCAGTTACCTTTATGCGCTGGTGATAATTAACAGGCTAATCCGAAACTTTAAAAGCTTTTGTGTATTATTTGTGTGTTTTAGGGGGCTCATGTCACAGTTAATGCCAGAGCAGACGAAGATGTGGAACCTGACGTGATCATGCAGAAGGTGGCTAAAGCGTCAGGAGCTAACTACAACTTCCACAAAGAAACCTCCAGCCGCTTCCAGGACAGTGGTCCTCAGGGGCCTGTGGTATGCACAGCCCGATGCTTATCTGTGACAGAACGAACGCTGAGGAAAAGCCTTTAACTAGGCTCCTTAGACATGCAGGGACGTCTTTTGTGTTTTAGAAACTTGAAGTCACAAAAAGACATCAAAAATGATTTTATTTTTTACAAGTGCAAAAGGCTGCCCTTGTTATAATGAACTGAATTTTGTTAAAATTTCTGCTTATTATTTAGTTTAAAGCTTTAACTTTATAAAACAAGACATGATTTCATTCATTAGATTTTTAGCAAAGTCCAGATACAATTTATAATGAAATTCAAATCCATCAGCCATTTTCAAAATAAAAGTATTTCAGTGTTCCAGTAGCTCAGCTGCCAGGTGAGGCTACATCACTGTATTTATCTGTATTTTCTTATAATAAATAGTCTTTTCTTTCTGCAGGGATCAGTGTACCAGAAAACCAACGCTATGTCGGAAATCAGGAAGACCAATAAAGACAACTTCTGGGCACAGGCAGAGGTACGCTACCTTAACTTCACAGATAACAGCATGCAGAGAAGCATCCATACAAACCGTCTGAAATTGTCTTTGTGAGATACTGAGTCACTGAAACAACAAAACCACTATATCCTCCTGAAATACGTCCTGAGTTTTTCCTTTTGTCAAATTTGGACACTATTAAACTTAAGTTTTGGATTAATTTGCATCGGTTATCAATGAGTAAACTTTAAGTTTAACTCCAGACATTTTTCTCTGTCTTTTTATATATACTGCACCATAATACAGCTTTAGTTGTTGATTCTGTTTGCATTCTCTCCACTGACCCATGTTTGTGTTGCAAAGTCTGTAAACTGAATGTGCTCTGAGCTTTATTATATTATTGCATTTTCTGAAACGACTGTAAGTTTGCGTTGTTTGGATGCTTACATTTAATTTCTATGAACATGGCAGACAATTTGAAAGTATGAAGATAATTACATTGTAGTTAATTTAGCACCATTGTATATTTAAAAAAACATTTAAAAGACTTTTTTTCTCACTGTATGGAAGGCCTGTTCAATACGGCCATGGTTTGTTATTTCTTAGTGAAGGCTGTAAGAAAATGAGCATATTGGAGCAACACTTGGTATCTACACGTTTAATTCATTCAAATGACTTACATCTGTATTAGGTGCATATACACTCACCGGCCACTTTATTAGGTACACCTGTCCAACTGCTCGTTAACACTTAATTTCTAATCAGCCAATCACATGGCGGCAACTCAGTGCATTTAGGCATGTAGACATGGTCAAGACAATCTCCTGCAGTTCAAACCGAGCATCAGTATGGGGAAGAAAGGTGATTTGAGTGCCTTTGAATGTGGCATGGTTGTTGGTGCCAGAAGGGCTGGTCTGAGTATTTCAGAAACTGCTGATCTACTGGGATTTTCACGCACAACCATCTCTAGGGTTTACAGAGAATGGTCCGAAAAAGAAAAAACATCCAGCGAGCGGCAGTCCTGTGGGCGGAAATGTCTTGTTGATGCCAGAGGTCTGAGGAGAATGGGCCGACTGGTTCGAGCTGATAGAAAGGCAACAGTGACTCAAATAACCACCCGTTACAACCAAGGTAGGCAGAAGAGCATCTCTGAACACACAACATGTCGAACTTTGAGGCAGATGGGCTTCAGCAGCAGAAGACCACACCGGGTGCCACTCCTTTCAGCTAAGAACAGGAAACTGAGGCTACAATTTGCACAAGCTCAACGAAATTGGACAAGAGAAGATTGGAAAAACGTTGCCTGGTCTGATGAGTCTCGATTTCTGCTGCGACATTCGGATGGTAGGGTCAGAATTTGGCGTCAACAACATGAAAGCATGGATCCATCCTGCCTTGTATCAACGGTTCAGGCTGGTGGTGGTGATGTCATGGTGTGGGGAATCTTTTCTTGGCACTCTTTGGGCCCCTTGGTACCAATTGAGCATCGTTGCAACGCCACAGCCTACCTGAGTATTGTTGCTGACCATGTCCATCCCTTTATGACCACAATGTACCCAACATCTGATGGCTACTTTCAGCAGGATAATGCACCATGTCATAAAGCTGGAATCATCTCAGACTGGTTTCTTGAACATGACAATGAGTTCACTGTACTCAAATGGCCTCCACAGTCACCAGATCTCAATCCAATAGAGCATCTTTGGGATGTGGTGGAACGGGAGAATCACATCATGGATGTGCAGCCGACAAATCTGCGGCAACTGTGTGATGCCATCATGTCAATATGGACCAAAATCTCTGAGGAATGCTTCCAGCACCTTGTTGAATCTATGTCACGAAGAABTGAGGCAGTTCTGAAGGCAAAAGGGGGTCCAACCCGTTACTAGCGTGGTGTACCTAATAAAGTGGCCGGTGAGTGTAAATCAAGACTGGAACATTGAAAACACAACTGAAGTCAATAAATATTTTTAAAAGGAGTCAAAGTTTCTCCTCAGTCGGTTTAATCTGTGTTCATATTTGCCACAGATACTCAGAGTGGTGCTTTTGTCCATTCGATGTGCCATCAGGCTTTTTAACGATGCCTAAAATCAGAGCAGCGCTCACCTTACCTCCTCGTTCTGCTTTTAGAAAGAAGAGGAGAAACGCCGGCTGGAGGAGCGACGCAAAGCCGATGAGGAGCGCCAGCATCTGGAGAAGGAGAGGAAAGACAGAGAGGCCAAGGAGGCGGCGCTGAGGGAGAAACGAGACAAGGAGAGAGCTTCTCAAATCGAACAGCAGAAGTAAGCTGTAGTGGGGGGAAAAAGCACAGTCTGGTTTGTTATAACGGCCATTAAATAACTCATGTGGCTTTTTCTGCATTTCTTAGGAAGTACCAGCAGAAGCTAGAAGCTGAAAGTAAAGAGCAGGAAAAACAACGCTGGGTGAGCATCTCTATAAGATTACTCATGAAGAGGCACTTTGAGGAAATGACTTCCAGCTGTGAAGCCAGCTGACAGAGACATGAAGAACAGATGCTGACTGATGTGGCATTTACTTCTGTCAAATTATGTTGATTACTGAAAAAAAAGATAGAGCAAACATCTTGTAAGCATTTTAGTCAGGAAGTGAGCAAATGTCAGCAGAGCCAACATTAACATGAGCATCATCAGGAGGAGGAGGAGAACCAGGAAACCCAGAGGAAAGCAGTCAGGAGAGGGGAGTCTGTGGAAAAGGCCAATGTGAGTCCCCTAATCTCTACCACCTCACTGAGTTTCTTCTCTCTTCCTAAGATTAGTGATTCACTGCTCAGTTTTGAGCTTTTCAAAATCACACCTGTTTTCCAGTCTCTGTCATTCATGACATCATTCAGTAACACACTAAATCTTTTCTATCAGTATCAATCACGGCTACGTTAATCGTTGTGTTGACTTTTAGAGTTGTTGTATTTGTGATTTGTCTTTTCTAGGAGGCGGCGTCTCTCATCTCTCAGCGTGCCATGAACCCCAGGGAGATGTTCAAACAGAGGGAGCAGGGAATGCCAGCCACTGACTCTGCTGCCCCTATCAGCCCTCAGCCAGGTATCCTCCCAACATAAACAATCCCGTCTTGCTGTACCAGCTCACAACAGCCTTTCACGCATAGCTGCAAACGTTTCTTAGCTTTTATCAGAGTCTTCCATCCAAACTGGGCTTGCCTTTTCTCAGATTAGAAACCTTCCATCCAGACTGTCTAGTTTTATTTCATAATGGCATCTAAATCTGTCTTCACACCCCTGTCTGTTCATTCTGTCTGCTCTTTGTCGTCTCTCTCATCCATTTGTTTGCATGCTTTGTGGTCGATGTGTCTGTCTGCTCAGGGCGTCTGCACAGCCCCTTTCTGTCTAAGCAAGCGAACGAATCGGAGCGAGCCAGCTCCCCTCAGCGCCGAGCTGCTTCTCCTCCTGTATCAGCAGGCTCTGCCTCTCCTGTCCGCACCACAGGTGTGAGCGTAACACACACACACACACACACGAAATGTTTGCACAACACTTAAGCCAAGAACACACTCACTGTAAAGTGGTCCCTAGAGTACAAGAAGGATGAGGAGTGTCGACGAAACACCAGACCACACAGATAACGATTTTGTGTCAACTTTAACCATAAAGTTTTTTGTAATCCTATCTAGTTTTTTTTTTTTATGGATCCTATCTAGTTTTTGCTCTTATTACTTAAATAAATTTTATTGATCACTGATATATTTGGAAAGCAGCACAAATATTTTTTGTTTCCAGTACCTTCATTTATTCCAACTGAAACAACTTCACAGTGGAGGGCAGCACTAATCTAAATATTAGTTGCACTAACCCTAAAGCACTAACTCAAATATTTAGGTCCCCTAATTCTGAAGCACTAACTCAAATATTTAGGTCCCCTAACCCTAAAGCACTAACTCAAATATTTAGGTCCCCTAATTGTAAAGCACTAATGCACTGAAAATTTTAGCAAAAGCTAATTCTAAAGCACTAAAATAATTCAGTTGACACATGAAACGTTCTTCAGTTAACATGAGACAATATTTACTGTGTGCAGAATATTGTCACTTAGTGTCCTTGGCGGGTCAAATCACCTGTAGGTCACATTTGGCCCTCGGGCCTTAAGTTTGATACGTGTGACCTTGTAGATAAGTGACACACATATGAACAAAATGTGTGACAGCTTTCACCCTCACCTGTGAACAATAATGTTGATCAATAACATTTAAAGACCTCAGTTAGTGCTTTTAAATTTAGCAAGTGCTAATCCACTAATGTTTTTAAAAAATAGCAAAAGCCCTAAAGCACTAATCAGGAAATTAGTTCCCCTATTAGTGCTTTAGTGCTTTAGGGGAACTGTGCCCACCACTGCAACTTCATATAAATGTTTATACATTATGATGCTAACATATTCTCCCAAAATGTCTATTCTTGTATTAGTTTAGAGTGCTGTGTGGACATTCAGACACTGACACTTGATAAAACATTACCAGACTTCTATTTTATTGATGATGGATTCAGGGATAGTTTGGATTATTTTTGAAGTGGGGTTCTGAGGAAAGGTTATGAGCAATTATCTTACCATGAAGGATAAAACATTACTCGGCTGTCAGTCTAATGTTAAAGAGTTATTGTTTTATTTATTTAACCTTTATTTGTTCAGGCAAACAGTTTGAGAATCACTTCTCATTTACAAACATGACCTGGCTTGTGGCTGAAATGTCATGTTAGTTAAAGCCACAGCATCCCAGGCTGCACCAGAATTCTGTGCAAATAACCAAGTAGCATGAAATGGACAGCAGGGTAATGGTCCATAAAATATGAAATGTTTGAGTGTGATCTACTTCGGTTTTGGACTAGACGTGAATTTATAAATACTGAAATATATAAACTCCATATTTGATTTTGATTTGATTGATTTTATTTAAGCGTCATGCAGCTTCTGGTGCCTATAACAGGTAAAAATATTTTTGCATGACTTATCCAAAGAACTCCACTTGAAAAAATCTGACCTATTGCTCTTTTGATTGAAATAATAAAAAAAAACATAGCTAGTTACATAGTTGATTTTACAAAACACTTCTAGGACGAAACTATGATGGTTTAAAAACTGGTGTGAGCTCCTTTTTAGAAGCTAGAACGTCCACGAGGGTAAATAAAGTGATGTTTGTCTGCATGAGAGGTGGAAATGAACTTAAGAGGATAAAGTTGAAGTGTAGCTGGTTGGAACAGAAACTAGAGGCAGCTGTTTTGACACTCAGTCCTCCGTGTTGGTGGTGTGTTCTGGGTTTTATAAAACTATTTGGTGTCAGACTCACATTTTATCAAAGCTCAGTGTTTCATTTGTCCACCTCGTGCATCTGTGTCATCTTGTCCGTAGTTTCTTTAATGCTTGTTAGTCACGCTTCCATCATGTTTCCTTTTATTGTTTTTGAGCTTTCCTCCTCATTCATCTTGAACACACTAAGAACAGCCTTCTGCCTCAGACTGGTGGTGGTGTTCTGCCTGTTTGGACTCGTGTGTTGCACGGTGTACATGCATGTCTGTGCTTGTGTTTTGGGTAATAAGAGCCTGATGTGGATGATGGCCAGTCCAGGTGTGAGTATGAGGAGCAGGAGGCGCCTCCCCAGGAGACGTTTAAAGGTGGGGGTAATCTCATACATCATCATCTTACGTGTTCATTTATCAGTTGCCCAGCCCTGTCATCTGGTTTAATGTAAAAATGCTGTCTTGAGTTCTTCCTTCTGCTTTTGCTGCCACCTGCTGGCAACTTTAGTCATACAGTTGTGCTCATGTTTTTTTTTTTGTTTTTTTTTTAATATTTTTTTTTTTCAGAGGAGACTCCAGCTGCCAACTCGTATGTTCAAGAGCCAGCTCATGAAGAACCTGCTCCGGTGGGGTTTTTACTTCTCTTTTAGCAGCTCACTTTTCTTCCACCATATGTCCAAACCTGAAAGTCAAGGTACCATCATTTCTGTCACAGGTGGAGGAGACTAACATCTATGAAACGACTGTGGAGGAAACCTCAGACAGAGGCATCTGTGCCAGAGCACTGTATGACTATCAGGCTGGTGAGTCTGGTTTATTTTTAGGAGAGTGTGTGTGGTGACATTTTAAGATTTATGAACTATTATAGTTGTCACCAAACAACTCTTAAGCTTAAAAAACAAACCTCCGTAAACTTAAGATTGTGACATTTTCACAAAATAAAAGGTTTTGTTTAAAGTCCCTCAGCTCTGACCATTAGCCCAGCGTATCTTGCTTTTATTTCTTTATCACTTGTGATAACTCTGTGTCTGAGGGTTTTAGCTAAAGGAAACCATAATAACTTGATAGAAACATATTTTCTTGTTAGTGTTAGGAGCATTTTTGTCTAATATTAGATAGGGCTGCACGGTATATGCGGTAGACGGTAGAAACGGTATGAAGTTGTCCTATGGTAGAAATTTACCTTCTACCATCATATCGTCATTACGTCATTGGACCTGTGTCAGCAGGGTTGCGAGTGCAGAGACAACTGAGCAGGAAGAGTTCGAAATAAAATGAAGAAATTCTAGTGTTTTTAAAACACGTATAGAGAGGATAAATCCTCAAAATTTCCTCCTCCCGCTGTAGAGAAGTTACGTCGTGTCGCGGGATCATTTCCTCCCTCTCCTCTCGTCTCATCACCTCCTGCTGCACATCACGCAGAGCGAAGCTTTAACAACTGTAGTTTTTCACAACCAATTGTCAGAGAAAATTTTTTTTATGTATTGTTACCCACAGAGCCTCCATTGTACATGGAGGAAATGGAAAAGAGAGCCTTGATGTCCTTTTCAGGGGTGCCACCGAGCCATTGGTTCAGATATGTTGACGACACCTGGGTTAAAATTAAAGCCCAGGAAGTCCAACATTTCACTGATCACATCAACTCTGTGGATGAATATATTAAGTTCACACGAGAGGATGTAAAAAATGGCAGGTTGGCGTTCCTGGATTGCGATGTCTCGGTTTTGGATGGAGGACAGTTGGAAACTGGCGTATATCGTAAGCCCATCCACACAGACCAATATTTGCATTTTGACTCCCACCACCCACTGGAACACAAGTTAGGAGTGATCAGGACTCTGTACCACAGAGCAGACAGTGTCCCTACAAACCCAGGAGCCAGGGAGAAAGAGAAATCACACACACGACAGGCCCTGGAGCAGTGTGGTTATCCTGACTGGGCTTTCCTGAAAGCAGACAGGAAACACAGACAGGATTCCATGCAACCTTCAGGTGAAAATGAAGACCCCAAACCCAGACCCAAACCAGTGGTTATTCCGTATGTTGCGGGTGTTTYGGAGAAACTGAGACGTTTATTTTCTAAACATGATGTCCTAGTGGCTTTCAAACCCCAAAACACATTACGGCAAAGGCTGGTTCACCCCAAAGATCCGGTGCCCCGGCACAAACAGAGCAATGTTGTATATGCTGTTAAGTGCCAGGAGGACTGCGACCAGTTATGCATCGGGGAAACAAAACAGCCACTGTTCAAAAGAATGTCCCAACACAGACGAGCTACGTCTAATGGCCAGAACTCTGCAGTTTTCACTCATTTACAGGCCAGCGGTCACTCTTTCAGAGATGAGGATGTTCTCATTCTTGATAGAGAGGAACGTTGGTTTGAGAGAGGAGTAAAAGAAGCCATTTTTGTGAAGAAAGACCGTCCATCATTAAACAGAGGTGGAGGCCTCCGTTTTCAGTTGTCCCCCTCCTACAGCGCTGCCATTGGCAGTATCACTCCACCCCCTGTTTACAATAGGTGTTAATTAAGTGTAAACGATAGCCATGTGATGTGAGTATCAGTCACATGGAGGCAGGGCTTAAAAGCCTGAATTTTGCCTGAAACTCTCAGACTGAAGAAGTCTCTTGGARGAGAGACGAAACGTTTCATTARAGAAGAACCCGTCCAGARGACCTATACAGTTTTTTTTCCTTTTGATTTTTTACCTGGATTACTGAGATGCATCAGGACATTACCCACAGAGATTATTTAAAAAAAAACAAAACAAAGACATGGACGTTCGTTAAGCCATAAATCCATTTAGCTAATGTAAAGTCAGCTTCTGCTCTGATGAAGATGAGCGCGCAGCAGAGCAGCAGCTGATAGCAGGCAGAAGCTCAGTGTTTGGCAGGCTGATATTAAAGCAAAAGTGTTGGGTTTAATTAAGATTACAGTTTTCTGCAAAAAAAAAGCTCTAAAAATTACATTGTCTTTACTTTTTATGATAATTTTCTACCGTGATAGATACTGTTACCGTGAAGGGGCTCAATTTATACCATGATATGAATTTGAGGTCATACCGCCGAGCCCTAATATTAGACAGTGAACAAGAGGGAGACAGGAAATAAGGGTTAAAATGGATGGTTGTCTTATGCAGTCCAGGTCTCTGGTCAGAATGTTAATAATGTGACATCTGTTGAGTTTATCTGTGGGTGTGCTTCATCCATTTCCTTTCTTTGTCTGCCTCATGTTCAGCTGCCTTGTTCTAAAGGACCCAGTATACTCAATTTGAAGCCAAAGAGTCAATGTGTCGTTATTTGTCCACAGATCTATCCCAGCTAAAGCTTCACAGCTTCTGCCGACAGATTTCTCCGTGCAAAACATTTTTGGCTATTTTACTATCTTTATATTCTGGAAGCAAGTAATTGAAGCAAAATACAGAGTCTGACTGAGCGCTTTAAGCATAAACAAACACACCCACATACTTCTGATCAATCACACAGTAATTTGTTTTATGCAGAAAAAGGTAAAACGTTCTCACCTAAAAGGCTCTCTATATCTTGTGAAGTATAAACCAGTATTTACTTTTAGTTTCGGTGTCACTGCAGCAGAGAGGCACAGAAAATGGTAATAATACAGTAATACAGATGAGCTGTAAAGAGGACTAAAACAGTATAAATAAATACTGTAGTTCTATTTAGCACCCAAGTCCCACTATTTCTAATGATTCTTACAGGAAACTACAAAATCAATTTGGGTATTGTATTTAGAAAATACATTTTTGGTGTCAATAACTTGTTTCCTAGAAGTTCGGTTACTAAAAAACAAAAAGGGAGATTATTATTATTATTATTAACAGGTTCCCCTTAAAATTACACATCAAAAATATTTTGAGAGCAAAATCTTTTCCCGCTCTGACTTGTTTTGCAGGGTTTCTACAGGCGGGTCAGTTTAGTACCTGGATTCTTGTGCTTCCAAGTTATTCTGCTGTTGTGCATGTAATCTATTTAGTTTTTGTCTTGCTGAAATAAGTAAAGCCTCTGTTATATAAAATGCTGTCTTTTACTCCAGAACCTGCACAAATTGTCCACGTGCTGCCACAGATGCTGGTTTTTTAAACTGTGCTGCTTTCTATAACCACAGTCGAACTTTTCTCACCATTTTTACCGCCCTGCTTCTCTTCTCTCTCAGCCGACGACACAGAGATCTCTTTCGATCCAGACGAAATCATCACCGGAATCGAAATGATAGACGAGGGCTGGTGGCGAGGATACGGTCCAGACGGTCATTTTGGGATGTTCCCCGCTAATTACGTAGAGCTCATCTAACCCCTCCCCCTCCAGATCATGACCGTGTCGGTCCCAGGGGACCTCTGCAGTAAAATGACAAAGAGTGAAGTCAGTCCTCAAGTGATCAGGCTGAAAAGGAGCAAATGAGCCTCCTCCACCTCATGGACCAACAAACATGGTAACTGTGGGCCAGAAACTTTGGAAATCCCTTCTTCATTTTGAGGAACCAGTTTAATTAAAATATAGATTAATGTTCAGCAGTTTATGGCATAGTTTAAGGATTTGTGATCCGATCCCACCCACCCCCAGTCCTCTCCCTGGCCAAAACAGTCGTCTTGTCTGTAAACGTGATGCAGTAAAACATCAGTTTGAATTTCAGTTGTGAGCATTATTGGCACTTCTAATTCACATTCCTTACAAAGTGGCTTCAGTTCTGTTTCAGCTATATTTTAGTTGTTACGTGTAGCATTTGATCCTGTTCATTTCAGGAAGAAAAGAAAGATTAGGGTACCAGCTATAGCCTGATCTTTTGCCTTTCTTTACCGGCAGACTGAATTATCTTTTATATATATAAATATATGTGACTGAACTCATATCCTGTGTGAATTTTCAAATGTGTGCTGATCTGACGTGAATATTTAAACAGACGGATATTTGCTTTGTTCTGGCCTTTTGAATTCAGTAGGGCAATCCATAAAATGGCCAAGTTCCCTTTTTTCACCCCCAACTGTGAGTAAATAAAAGTTTTCATTTCAAGTCCTTCCTCATTTGAACCACAAAATGTCAGCAGCTGTAACTTTTCAGGGATGGGCTGAGAAGAACACACAAGTCAGCATTTGATTTGAGTCTGTTGATTTTTGCCTGCAGTAGCTGTTCTCTGATGCTAAGACGTGATTTTACTGTGCATTATAACGACGGGTTGTGAATCTGATACTCCTGCTGATGATTGTTGGCATTTTAATGACACATTTGAACAGGATTGACTGCAGACTTTATGCACTGCTTCCATCATGCAACAAAATGCTTTGTTTTTTGTATTTTTTTTTTTTTTTCATTTTTGTCTCTGAAGCCTCTAAGTTAGCTGATCGCGCAGAGAAAGAGGGCATTGTATTCATTGTTGTTGTTTTTTTCCACAGTCTATTGTAACGGCAGAAGTTCTTCTAAATAAAAGAAATCAGCAAACTGTCGCCACAGAAGTTTTTTTCTTTCAAACCCAGATCAACGGCGAACACTTGAAAAACAGAAAAGCTGAAGGGATTTTCAGAGGTTAACAGGAACTCAGATGTATACACTTTGCTCTACGGCCCGTTTCCTGGAATGAGGTGACGGGGAATTCACCTCGAAATGCATAGGTTTCATTTTCACACAAAAATCAGATTTTACCCCTTTTATTACATCTCTGTCATATTGGTCGGGTAATGGAATGGGCCCATGCAAAAGTGCACAAAAATGGTAACAAAAAAAGAAAAGTCCAATCCAAACTTGTTCCATTTTCATGTTTCCTGTTCAGTTTATTTATGTAATTAAGTTATAAATTCAACAGCTGACATTTCACAGCCCTGCCCTACTTTTAAATAATTACTCTACAGCCTCACTCCTACACAATCTAGAACCTAAAAAGACAAAAATATCAACTCCTACTGCTTCAGACTCTTAACAAATACATGCCTGAAGCTTAGTTTCTATCTACAATAACAAGTTTCTTATTCTAGACAAACTCATGACAGCGTTAGCCACAACTGGAATCTTCTGTTTTACACTGGTGGATTGTTCTCAAGAAGGTGACTCACTTTTTTTTTTAGGAAAAAGAAAACGTATCTTTTCTGTGTTGGAATCAGTATTCTCTCTACACGTTCTGGTTTAGATGGCGCTGCCTTCGGGCCCGGGCCCTAACCTCACATGTTTGTGTCAGTGAAAGTCTCAAATGAATCGCTGGGGGGTTTTCTCAACCATACAACTTGTGTTTTTACTCATCTGCTCCAAATTGGCTGCAGAACAGAGAGAAATTCTCACAAGAGTTCTGCAAAAACACTGACACAATTACAAGAAATTATAGTGCAGACAGCGCATTGCCCATCAGATAAACTAGATTAATGACCCGCGCACGCACAAATGCACCAGAACTCAGAAATCTTTATTCCTAATAAATGTCATGCTACTGGGTGCATCCCAAAATTGTAGTGGTTTGGGTGGGGGTCTTTTTATTATTATTTTTTGGGGGGGGGGGCATTGGTTGACCTGATGGATAGCCCCTCATCAGAGCTAAACARCCAAHGAAAATCTGAAGCTCCTATGTTTAATAGTTTTTGAGCWATAACCATTTTTGAATGTCCAGGTACCCCTTTTTCAGAAAAAAATAGGGGTCCGAGGGGGTGGGGGGCACTGATTGGTGGGCCTGATGGATAGAGCTTCATCAGAGCTAAACAACAAAAGAAATCTGATGTTTCTATGTTGATCAGTTTCTGAGTTATAAGCATTTTTGCATGTCCTGACACCCCCTCTTTGGATGGAGCCCCCTCCTCAAATATGGGGTCTATCGTAAAACCGTTGGCTGGTGCAGTGTAGGTTGGACTCATCTACAGTCCTGCCTAATGTCATGTTGATCAGTGCAGGCGTTTTTGTGCTACAGTTGACCAAAAATCACTGAGAAAAAAAAGACCCCCGCACACGAAGCGTAAGCGGGAATCATTTTGTTTTTTTTTTTCTCCGGAGATTTTTGGTCAACCGTAGCACAAAAATGGCTGCAACGATCAACATGAAATTTGGCAGGACTGTAGACGAGTCTGACCTACACTGCGCCAGCCAACGGTTTTATGATAGACCCCATATTTGAGGAGGGGGCTCCTTTCAAAGAGGGGGTGTCTGGACATGCAAAAATGCTTATAACTCAGAAACTGTTCAACATTGAAACATCAGATTTCTTCTGTTCTTTAGCTCTATGAAAGACTATCCATCAAGCCCACCAATCACTGCCCCCACCACACCCGGACCCCCAATATATCTGGAAAAAGGGGTATCTGGACATACAAAAATGGTTATTCAATCAATCAATCAATCAATCAAACTTTATTTATAAAGCGCTATAATATCAGCCACTGCTGAAACAAAGTGCTGAACACATAAAAATAAAAACTGAATACAAAAACACAATAAAATCACACAGTTAAATAAGTAAAATCAATTTAGTTATTGCTCAAAAAACTATTAAATACAGGAGCTTCAGATTTTTGCTGGTTGTTTAGCTCTGATGAGGGGCTATCCATCAGGTCAACCAATGCCATGCTATAATAATCAGGTAGTGTAGACATGTAATTAAATGATTTATGATACAACGTGCCAGTTTATCTGTGAGAACAGGAACTATTGATTGTAACTAGACATTATTCTAAAGCAACTGAAAAAACGTGGTTCTTATCCAACAAATAAATTTTAAAAAATCCCTTTTAAAATCTGGGCAGTGTGTAGATATTTGGTTATTTTGACATTTCATTTTGAAATGTCATTGTCTATCCGCAGCAGATGGAGCAGCAGGACATCCCCTGTTTTACACAGATCAAAAACATGCGGAGGAAACGTGGATCGTGTCAGGTGTAACTGCTGCTTCTCAATCTCAGACAAGACAAAGAGAAAACAGAGGGAAATAACAGCTGAGTTTTCAGTTTGAGCAAAGAACTAAAAGTAAAACTTTTTTAGTACAGCTAAAGTGGTTAAACCCATATTTTCCAAGAGCTCAGACTCTGAAGACAACTCCCTCTGACTCATGAGCAGTAAATACATGTGACCATCTTTAACCTGTTTATCTGAGAGGAGAAAAGGCCCTTCTGTGTTGGATTGACTTTTTAAAACTTATATTTATTGTTGTTTTTTTTTTAAGAAGTGGCAATTTCCTTCTTCCTTAAACTCAGAGGAATTAAATGGCTGCAGCTTCAGTCACCTGCAGGCTGAGCTGTGGCTTTCTTCAGCTGAATTGAAGGTCAGCTCGGCCTTCAGTTCTGCACTTTTACACTGAAGTCACTGACGGACCTTTCCAGTTTGCATTGAAGCCGTTTAGGTTAGAAAATGTGTCTCATTTAGATCAAACATGTGTAAATACAAATTAATCTTTTCACTTCACTTTTTAATGTCTCTGTTTTACATCTGGGGTATGAAAAGAATATTTAAGGAAAGGTATAATTTCTTTTTTTACTTTTCTTCTCTTCTTTTTTTTGAGGGGTGTTTGCTATCTTAGTATATTGTGTGTAGTAAGATGTGTGTAGTATATTGTGTGTAGAAAGATGTGTACTAAGTCACACAGTTGATATACGTGGACTGAAACTGCTGAAGTCTTGCTTCCTTAAATTAAGAATATACGTCTAAAAAAAATAGTTATAGCAGACATCCAGGAAATGTAACGCTGACATTTTCGATGTCTCTAAACCTTTATTTGGACATTGGTTAAGCGCTGCTTTCACTTCCTCAAATTCAGCAATTTTGCTGAATTTGAGCCCAGTCTGCATGTTGTAGGTGACCACGCTTTTATGAGCTGGGTTCTATAAAAAAAAGGAACAATGTTTACATTTTATAAACAAAGGATGAGGCTGGTATTTCTCTTAGTTATGATTGTTACTGATGTTACTAATTCCTCTCTTTGGCTGTTGACTTTTATTGCAACAAGTGTTGACAAATGGGAACTGGTTGTCATTTACTTTTATTATTTTTAAATGATGCAATCAACTGAGAATATTTCATGAAACGCGCTGCGTAGGTAGAGTGCTGAATGACTACTGAAATGTGTTGAAGAACCTGAAACTGGATTATTGTTAGAATTCAATAAACCAGAATTCAAGCTAAATGCTAAAATATTTCAAATGTAGCTAAAATAAATAAATAAATAAGATGCTGAAAAGAAAAAATAAATAAAATAAACAGTAGCAAAAATCTAAATAAATGTAGTAAAAGGGTGACAAAAAAGGCAAATTCCATCCATCCATATAATCTTTACTTGATTCTTCCTTTCAGGGTCACACTGGTGCCCTTATCCAGCAGTCACTGTTTGCGGGGCAGGGTACATCCTGGATAGGTCACAAGTCCATCACAGTCACAAAAGGCAAATTATCACAAAAATTGTAAAAGGCTAGCATACAGTAGCTGAAAGCTAACCACTTGCTAAAAGTAGCAAAAAGCTAGAGGGTTAGGGTTAACTACCTAGTTGTTACCTAAAACTAACAAAAGCTCTAAAAGTAGCAAAATGCAAACTAAAAGTTGCAAAATCTGTGTTAAAGGTCAAGGCTATCTAAAAGAAAAACAAAACTTACTAAAATGTAGCAAAAGTTGTTAAAAGTTGTTAAAAGTAGCTAATCTAAAAGTAGCAAAAAAGTAGGTAAAAAGTATTTAAAAATTTAAAAATAAAAAAATATGCTAAATAACATCTTAAAGAGAACAATATTTTTGTAGGAACTTTCAAAAATGTTTCTGAGTAAAATAATTGTAAATAAATGTAAGTATTGTGAAAAACAAAGTTACAAAAATTAAAGATCTAAATCTCTTGAAGGAGCTGAGCATTTTCAGAAAAATAAAAGGCATGTAAACAGTAGTGTGAATGTTAAATCAGTTACACAACTATTGGCTCGTTGTACAAAATCTGCAATGAGAAGAAGTTCCTTTGTCAAAATGTACATAAAATATACATTTTTCCATTAGAAAAATAACATTTTTCTAATGGAAAATTCATTATGACTTTAAAATTTTTAGCACAGTTGAGGATCAAAGGCTGTGAATAAATATTGTCAGAATCGAGATAAAAAAAAAAGGCTCAGAGTTTCCCAGCCTCATTTGCAGTCATGCTATCAGTCAACCAATGAAACTGTCCTGCGGAGACATCTTCCTTTTTCGTGGTGTGAAGTTGAGGAGGGTGTCGCATGAATTGTTGAACCAGAACACAGAGAAGCCAAAGACTGGAGGACAACTTCTGAAAATGGGTGAGAAAAAACTTTTATCACTCACAAACACAACTGTACAATTTCTTTTAGAAATGTTGTTAAATCCTGTACAAACAGTTCTGTTATTAGTATAAAAACTGCCAACATTTTACACTTTTAAAAGATCTTTTTATGTTTAAATACATGGGTGTATGTGTGAGTGTGTGAGATCACTTTATATTGTTTGAATCAAGTAAGTCACATCACATTAAAGTTTATTTTTACTTCATCTGAAATAACTCAGCTCCACAATCAACAGATTATCAATTATCGTTTTGGCACATCTGGTTGTGAGCCTGTTGCAAATTCATCTTTTGATTGCGAGTTGTGAAACGGTGTTATCACGAATATTTCTTCATCACACAGAAAAGGAGAAGTCAGAGGCTACTGAAAACAGAATTAAAGGCTTGAAGCCACAGCACAGGAAATAAGTGATCTTAAAAGAGAAGCATATTGGTTTGCACGCTCACACAACATGATGATATCTGCGTGTGTGTGTGTGTGTGTGTGTGTGTGTGTGTGTGTGTGTGTGTGTGTGTGTGTGTGTGTGTGTGTGTGTGTGTATGGTGTGATCTTTGTAGAATAACTTCGCACT